TTTATTTATTTACCAAGTGCATCTTTATTCTCAAAAGAGCTCCAGGCGGCATGCATGGATCCTTTCTCCTCCTTTTTTCATGAAAATAACACTGTAAGCAGATTAGGCTAAGGGAGAGCATGAGAGGTTGACCCTATGTCACTGAAATGAGGCTCGTGGCTGAATTTGAACTAGGAATGTGCAAAACAAAACAAAAAATCATTTTTTTCTGATTCGGGTCTGTTGGACCTGAAAAATATTGGTATTCCCGAATATTCCCAAACACCAGTATAGGTTTTGTACTGGGATTTGGGTGAATATTTGGGAAACCCACATTTATTCAGCTCCACTATACCCTATGGGGACAGTTCCCATAGGGTATAATGGAGAAGGGATTTAAACCTTAAATGCTTGCTGAGTTCACTTGCCGAGTTGTGCCACCACAGCGGCACAACCCTGCAACTGAACTCAGCAAGCATTTAAAGTTTAAATCCCTGCTGAGTTCACTTGTCGAGTTGTGCTGTGGCGGTGGTGCGACTTGGAAAGTGAAATCAGAGGTCAATTAAAGAGACCACAGTCTAGCCACATCCGAATAAAAGCTGAATAATATTGGCTTTTATACCCGAACATATCGATAAGCGGGTTATTGTGGCTCAAATGTTCCTTTTATCCCCAAAATAGGTCTGTCAATGGCTTATTAATCATGATGGCTAAACTGAACCCCCTTGTTCAGTGGCAGTTTACCTCTGAATAACAGTCATTGGCAGGGGGCAACACTGGTGGGAGAACCGTGACCTTCATGTTCTGCTTATGGGCTTCCCGGAAGCATCTGATTCCTTTCTATGTGAAACAGGATGCTGGACTAAATGGACCTTTACTCTAATCCAGCTGGGGCCTTCTGAAGTTTTTCTGCATTTCTTACAACAATCCGAGGGGGGGGAGTGACCCACATTTTCCCAGTGAGTTTTGCAGATGTTCATTCTTTGCTTTTGAGCAGGAGTTGACAGCTGAGGGTGTGTGTCAGAAACTGACAGAAACTGCAGACACCCAAAGTAAGAATGGAAAAGGACCAGTCAGCTGAGCCCCCCCCCATTTAATATTTTGGTTTCATTGTGTTCACATCAAACCCAAAGGGACAATATGACAGAGCCGCCTTCAGGGGAGGGGGACAAGTCTGTGTGGAGGATGATGGTTTCTGGTGAAAAGAATTAACTCCCTCCTCCATCAGAAATGCACAGCTTTGTCTCTTGAGGTTTTTATTGCAAGCGTTCAGGGGGCTCCCATTCTCTCCTTGTTCTGGGCGTCCCACGTGAGAATATCCAAACCCAGTTTCTGTTGCACAAAAGCCTTTTTTTAATGTTAAGGTGGCAGAGAGAGACTTTCGGTGTTGAAACATGTACAGAGTGAAGTGACAGAAGTTCTTGTGGTTGATTTCCCTTTTCCCACCCTGAAAAAGGAGGTGGGGGGAGTACAAGTAAAACCGGCCTGAACCTTAGGAAACCTTCCCCCCCCCCCAACAGTCAGAGATTCTATTATTTTATCAGTGGCTTGGGAGAGTATTCTTTCCTTCACCAAAGTCTAACATGCTGTTTAACCAACAAGTGGCTTCTAAGAAGCCCATGAATAGGACCTTGACAGAGGTAGTAATTTTATTTATTTATTTATGCCCAACTTTCCTCCCCCAGTGGGGACCCAAAGTGGATGGCAACATGCCATCCTCTCCTTTATTTTACCCTCACAACAACCCTGTGAGGTAGACTAGGCTGAGAGCATGAGACTGGCCCAAGGTTACCCTGCAAGCTTCCATGGCAGAGTAAGAATTCAAACCTTGGGTCTCTCAGATGCCCAGTCGGACACTCTAGCCACTATACCACACCCTATTGTTGGTCACCTAGTAATGGGCATTCACACCCTGCCTTTATACATGGAAGTATACATTATACATGGAACTTCCGTATTCAGAGGCAGTTGACCTCTGAATCCCAGTGCCAGGAGGCAACATCAGGGAAAGGCCTCGGCCTCTTTGCTGTGTTGTTGGCCCTCCAGAGGAACTGGTTGGCTGCTGTGTGAGACAAGATGCTGGACTAGATGGACCGCTGGTCTGATCCAGCAGGGCTCCTCTCTGGTTCTTAAACTCTGTTTACCATCCCACCTTTCTTCCAGGGAGCTCAGGGCAGTGTACCTGGTTCTTCCCTTCTCCTTTTTACCTTCCTAACAACACCGTGTGTGTGTGAGAGAGAGAGATTGAGAATGACTGGCCCAAGGTCATCCAGTGAACTTCATGGTAGAGTGGGGATTTGAACCTGGGTTTCATTGGTTCTGATCTGTTAGATTCTAACAACTTCCCCCATTCTGACTCTTCAGTCATCCCGTCACAAGAGCCCTGATGAATGAAACCAGTTCAGCATCCTTTGCCCCATAGCAGCCATCCGGGTGACACCCCCCCCCCAAAAAAAAAGGCCCACCAGCAAGGCCTGAAGGTAATAGTCCTCTTCCAGCAACTGGACTTGCATACACATAATATATACACACAGGAAGTTGAATCAGACCATGAGTCCATCAAGGTCAGTATTGTCTACTCAGACTGGCAGCGGCTGTGCAGGATCTCAGGTGGAGGTCTTTCACATCACCTGCTGCCTGGTCCTTTTAACTGGAGATGCTGGGGATTGAACCTGGGATCTTCTGCATGAAGAGCTGAGGCTTTTCCCCTGAGCCACATCCTCTCCCTGTGACATACAGTCTCTGAACATAGAGGATTTATTCAGCCATCCTAGCTAGTAGCTGTCAACCAGCCTCACCTGTGAATTCGTTTAGTCTCTTTCTAACACCATTGGCACTTGTCGCAGCCAGCGCTTTTGCAGTCATGGTGGGATGGTTGAGCTGTTTTTAGTTGGGAAGGGTTGAGAACATGCTGAACTACGCATTTAATTTGTGCATGTGATTATGTATGTGTGTATACTGAAAATCTGTGTACATGCGCACAATCGTAGGAAAGATCCACAAGCTTGTTTTCAGAGAATCAAAATCCCCCCCAGAAATGTGGTCCTATTACCTCTGTTGTTATCCTGTCTCTGTGGCTGCAAATTCAGTGGGGCAGGATTCTGTCTTTGTTCACATTTGAAACTCTGTAGAGCATCGCACTGTATTAATAGCAGCAGTCCGTGAATAAGACTAATAGTGGCCTTCTGGTGTTTGTGTGTGTCTTCATTCCCAGCCAGCAGCTGTGGAACTACACGCTCAAGCTCTTATCTGCTTAGTAGATGTGGTAAAACTCCCCCCATGTTTGTAGCCCCACCCCCACCATGATGAAGTCTCCTGCTGAATTGGCACCTAATGATTGCACTTATATGCCAACTCACTCTGTTCCGCTGGCATAAGAACGTGTCCACGTGGATCTCACAGTTATTACTGGTGTACACTGAACCCCTGAACGTGGTAGTCTTTCAAGAGCAAAGCGGTGGATGGCATATGGAATCAGTGAACTGATTGGTGTGATGTCCAAATTAAAAAACCCAAAAAACTACTTCTGTGGCTACATAAGTCTGCGAAATATTTCTGAGCCTCTCTGGGAGAGACCCGGCTCCTGGACCTCAAGGAAGTGGCTGACTCATTCAGCTTGCTTGTTTCCACACGGAGGGACTGCTCACGCCTCTGGAGACCCCTCTGACAGGCCCAGGGGAGGAGACTTTGGCTGAGTGGCAGAGCTCATGCTTTATGCCGGAAAGGCCCACATTCTGTCCTTTTTGCCTCTAGTTTAAAAGGTTTCTGGCCACTCATGTTGGGAAAGACCTTTCTCTGCCAGAGAGCCACACTCAGTCAGAATAGACAGTGCTTGTGTGCATTATGTGCATTATGCACACTTTCCCGGTTCTTCCAAAACCCTTTGCTTTAAAAAGTGAACCTTGGTACTTGCTGCTGTGAAAAACAGAAAGTCTTGTGAAGTGGACCCTTGGTCTGATACAGTAGGGCAGTTTGCTTCACGCTTATGAGTCGTGATCACAGAATAGAACTTCCATGGACGGAGACAATATATCTTTGCTGTGGACAAATGATAGGAGAAAGTAGGGATGCCAGCCTCCAGGTGGGGCCTCGGGATCCCCTGGAATTACAGCTCATCTCCAGACTACAGAGATCAGTTCCCCTGGAGAAAATAGATGCTCTGGAGGGTGGACTCTGTGGCATTGCACCCCACTGAGGGTCCCTGTCCTCCCCAGGCTCCACCCCCCAATTTTCCTGGACTTGCCAGTGGCCAGGGGGGACCTGGCAACCCTAGGAGAAAGCCATCATCAACCCTGCCCTGTTGGGAGCTTTCCAGCAGCATCTGGCTTGGGTGTGCTTGGAAATAGAATGCTGGGCTAGATGGTCTGATGTAGCAGAGCAGTTTGCCTTTTTTTTTTTGTGAGTGTGACATTGCAGACGCGCATGACTGGCTCACCACCACAGCCCTGGGGGCAGCAGTGTGCAGGTTTCTTTGGTGGCAGCCATGCGGCCAGGCAGTCATGTGACTAGCCCCTGAGGAACAGCCCCCCCTCCATTCAATATAAAGCAGAGACAGTTTTTCCTGCCTGATCTTGGTGTGTGTGTGTGTGCAATAGCCCCATCTAGTGGCACACAATTTTATAAACATTTTCCCTTCCGTCATTCCCCCCCCCTGAAAACTAAAACCTTTTAGGCTTTCTTTGTGTCTATATTCATGTGGTGTGGCTTATTTGGAAACAGGAATTAGGACTCTTGGGGGGCGGGCGTGAGTGTTCGTACATGCCTGTTTGTGCACATGAGCCGTTTGGCCCAAAGTTTGCTTCCCTTTGCTGTGCAATGCGCTCCTCTTTGCCCTGGAGCTGGCATACCGACGCAGCTGAGATCTTTGTGAGTGTATGTTTGTGTCTAAAATAACAGAAGAGTCGAGGGCACCCCTAAGACTGAAACACACGTTATGAAGCCGAGCTGTTGTGAGACAGAGTTCACTTTGTCAGATGCACAAAGCATTTTGCAGAGCCTTAAAACCCTTTCCCCCCTTTCAGACTATCAGCTGACCAGCGCAGACCTTTCATCCCTCCCAGCTTTCAGCTCACCGGGAGGACTGTCTCTTGGCAGCATCTCTGCTTGGCAACAGCAGCAGCAGCAGCAGCAGCAGCAGCAGCAACAACAGCAGCAGCAGCAACAGCAGCAGCAGCAGCAGCAGCAACATCTTGTTCCTGTATCACTAAGTAACTTAATGTAAGTGCATTGTGACAGATTTTCAATGGCACCGGGTGGCACGAATGACCCTGCACCATGCCTGTGAGCAACTGTGGGATCACGACTCGAACCATGCAACAGAGCCAGGATCCTGTTCCCAATGGAGGCTGGCCCAGATGCATCTGAGGAGGTCTCTCCCCCCCCCCCCTCCAAGCAGGGCATGTCACTGGCTAGCAGTGTTCTCAGGTATACTGCATCTGAACACGGAGGTTTCCATTTGACATTCGTGGTTCTTCGTGACATGAGGAGAGAGCTCTTGTGGTGTGTGAACAAGGGCCCATCTAGCCCAGGGTCCTATTTCCCAAGATCGGCCATCCGGATTGTTTTGGGATGCCCGCAAAACAGGGAATGAGGGTAACAGCCCTCCCTCGCACCTGCTCTTCAGAGGTACACTGCCTTTGGACACGGAAGTTTTATTTATTTGTTTCTTCTTCCGTTCTTTGAAGGTGTGCACCTCTGAATGCAAGTTGCAGGGAAACGAGAGAGAAGATATTGGATTTTATACCCCGCCTTTCACTACCCAGAGGTGTCTCAGATCGGCTTACAAACTCCTTTCCCTTCCCCTCCCCACAACAGACACCCTGTGAGGCAGGTGGGGCTGAGGGAGCTCTTGACAGAAACTGCCCTTTTTTTTCAAGGACAGCTCTTATCAGAGCTACGGCTTGCCCAAGGTCATCCAGCCAGGTGTAAGTGGAGGAGTGGGGAATCAACCCCGGTTCTCCCAGATTAGAGTCTGCGCACTTAACCACTACACCAAATAACCACATAGACCTTTTGCTGTCATGGCTCCCTTACTGGGCTTCCCAGCAGCACCCTTTGTTGGGGGGAGAAATGAGACACTGGACTGGAATGGACCTTTGGGTCCAGCCTTTGCTTTCCTGATGTTCTTCTCAGCTGCGATAGCTAAATGAAACCTCCATGTTCCCATGCAATCTATTTCTGAATACCAGTAACTACAAACAACTGGGAGGGTTGTTGTCTTCGTGCCCTTAGGCTCTGGCAGAGGACTGGATATGGTGATCTAGACAGATCATTGGCCTGATTCAGAGGGCTCTCTTGATTTTCTAATGCGCACTCTGAAATTTCCAACTGAAAGTGCATGGATCGCTCCCGAATTTACAAAACGATTTGGCTTCACGCTTCATCAGAAGACGTTAGTCTGTGCCCAAGACTTACAGACTTTCTTTCCTGGCTGAATGAGACGGCTTCGAATCCGAGTCAGAAGGGGATGTTCTGTGGCTTAGAAGGCATATTTGAACACGGACGTTTGGACCCCTTTAGTTGAGACATTCACATCTCCATATCCTCTAACGTTTTGCAGGAGAAAATTGGGGTCCTGCTTGCCAGGTGTCCTGTTTCTGTTCCAAGGATGGCTCCCAACCCCCCCTCCCCTTTTTCTCAGTTGCCAAAGGATTTATTCTGGTTCCTGTATTGATTTACATATGCAAAAGCCTGCCTCCGGATGATTTAAAAGCCGAGAGGGTAATTTTGATCAAGCAAGAGCAGGAAAACGGAAGAGCCGAGCTGTATATTTCCAGCTTCTAGAGAACCCCGGGGGGGGGGGGGGGGGGAGGAGTAGCTCCTGAAGAATCTCACGCTTTGTCCCGCCCTTCTTCCAGATAACTGAGGGTGGCACTCATTGTTCTCCTCTTCTCTGTTTTACCATCAGATTAGGCCCAAGGTCTTCCAGTGAGCAGAGTTGGGGGGGGGGGCGTTTGAACCTGCGTCTTCCCAGTCCTGGAGCAATTTGCATTAGCGAATCATTACAGTCATTACTGATGCTCCCTCTTAAGCTGTGGAGTCTTGTGAGCAAAAATTCTACTTTATGAGCTACTGGCATTAAAGTTCTGAGCAAGCGATTTGGCTACTGCATCAGTTAGTTTGCTCTGGAGCCATCCTTCCTGAGCTAAGACAAAAATGTGTGAGCCGGAGGCTAGAAAACTGAGCTAGCTCACACTAACTCAGCTTAGAGGGAACACTGGTCATTGCACTACACCGGCAGTTCATCTCCCCAGATGGTGAAAATAGAAGCAAAGACTGGAGACTGGTAAGGTGGAACAGTTAGAGATCACAGACCTCCTGCTGTGCTAGGATTCAAAATTGTCTCATTCAGCTGGAGAAGACAGTCTGGAATTCTTGGGTGTGTAGAGCATCTTCTTGGGGGGGGGGGCAGTAGAAAAAGGACCTGACCAAGGAGAAATTTCAGAGTTGCCCTTCTGCACACGCCCAGCTACAACCTCTCCTCTGTCACAGCTTGTGCTGTTGCCGGCAGACATTTCCGAATGTGCCCCTGGCTGGAGAAGCTGACATGAAGCTGTCATTGGAGCAGATCAGCCAGTGAGGCCACCAGACCTGACTTCTGACCTGCAAACGGGTGACAGATCGGGCGCTTATATAAGCGGCCCAGCAAAACTACCAGGCTGACTCTAACTGGCAAAGGCACCCCTCATTGTCCTTAAAAGCGGGGGTGAGGCAGATTATTCACCACCAAGGGGTGAGTCAGAAGCACATCTGTAGCCATGTAACCAGAGGGATTGTAGGTCACTTGCGGGCTTCATAGATCCAGGGGTCATTTCCTGCAGGAACACACAGGAGTGGAGCTCCAGCAGTAAAGAGCCCAGGGGCGGGCACATGCAACGAGCCCCACCCCCTGCTCTCAGCAGCCCTCAGTCCGAGCAAGAAGCAGCCAGGTAAGTTGCAGAGCCGCCCCCCCCCCCCCCCCCACACGAGC